GAAGACAAGTCCAGAGGAAAATTTTTTTTTTTTCATAATAAAGTATATTACATTAGCTTTAATTTAAGATATATATTAAAGTGTCAGACTTTCCGGAACACTTTCAAAATTTAAGTTGAAAAAGTTCTACTTTCTACATGAATTATTTATATTTTAAGCCTCCCCATATATAGGGAAATGGTCCCATTTAAGAAAACAGTATGTCAAATAAAAGATGTATATAAATACTACTTTCTGTGAAAAAATTGTACTGATCCATACATTTTTCAAAAAGTTATAGCATAATAAAGTTAAAAATGGATAATACAAAATCGAAAATTTTCACACAAAAATAGCATTCGGTAGCCATTTTCACCATGAAGATAAGATAAAGTCCGAAATTTTTTTTTTTCATAATAAAGTATATTACATTAGCTTTAATTTAAGATATGTATATATCTTAATATATACAGATGTGTCATACCTTCCGGAACACTTTCAAAAGTTAAGTTGAAAAAATTTAGTTTTTTGTAAAAAAGTTGTCATTTTAAATTCCCCCCGTGGGCAGGTAAAAAAAATAAACTTAACATATTTAATGACATCATGCATCTATATAAAAAAGAATTATATTGATACGTTCATTTTTGAAAAAGTTATGGCACTTTTAAGTAAAAAAAATTGAAAAAATTTCGAAAATTAGCGATTTTTAAATTTGTAATTTTTTTGGAGGTTTCCCCCNNNAGTAAAAAAAATTGAAAAAATTTCGAAAATTAGCGATTTTTAAATTTGTAATTTTTTTGGAGGTTTCCCCCATTTATGGGGAACGAGGGAATTTTTTTCAATTTTGAAGGGTAATGTCTTCGACTAGATACAATTTGTGATCTTTTGACGTATCGTTGAAAGAAATCCGTTCGGTGAGAGCTGAGAAAAAGTGGTAACAGACACAAAAAAAAAAAAACACATCTTAGTAAAACCAATACCTTGTCAGCTTCTCATCGAAGCTTAAAAATGTGAACTTTGAGAATTATGCCATGAATATAATTAAATATTATGATGAATATTTAATGATAAGTGTTAATAATAATAAATTATAAGGTAATGAGAGTTTATTCATAATTTCTTATAAAATAAGGTTTTAGACGTCTTACATGCACTGTGTCTACGATCTTTTGATTATTTAGCATTAATTCAATGATATAATTTAATTTAATTGATTTTCTTTATAATTTTAAATGGACCGCAATATTTCAGTGATAGTTAGGGTGACTTAACCACTTGAGCGAAAGGAAATTTGACTAAGACTAAATCTCCAGGATCAAATGTTAAAATTACGTGTTTGTTAACATAATTATTTTTTTGAATTTGTTGTACTTTTTGAATGATTAAAGGTAATTTATTTCTGACATCTTGTAAATTATTTAATGATTTATTTATATCATAGGGAATTTCATTAGGAATTATTTTGTTATCAATAGGGAAATAAGGTTCGAAATCATGCATTTAATAAAAAGGACTATAACCTGTACTTGTTTGAGGGATTGAATTATAGGCTAATGTAATGTATAGCAAATTATAAGACCATCTAGATTGTTCATTATTTTCAATATAATTTCTTAATGATGCACAAATCACCCCATTTATTTTTTCTACTAAACCTTGTGTTTAGGGGGAGTATGTCAAGATAAATAATTAATGATTTGTATAGTAAAGGTGAAAAGATTTCATTTAATTTTCTTTGAAAAATAGCACTACTATTTTTAAAACCTTGAGGTAATATAGTAAAAGTATAAATGCCAAGTGCAGAAGTAAAGGCCAATTTATATTGATCTTTAAGTCTGACAGGTATTTGAAAAAATGCACTGTTAAAATTTAATAAATTAAAATATTTTGAATTTTCTAATGCTCTGTAGTTCTTGGTATCGGGTATAAGTCTGATTGAACTCTTTCATGAAGTTCCTTGTATGAGACTAGTAATCTATAAGAATTTTTGTCTTTTTTACCAAAAAAGCAGGTGCTCCAAAGTTAGATGTAACTGGTTTTATTATATCTGCCTCTAAAAGTTTTTTTATATGTTTTTTTAATTCCTCTCTCTGTTCTGATGAGATTCTATGAGGAGCATTGAATTTAGGTTCAGTAAAATTTGGTTTCATTTTGATTTCACATGGAACTACATTCGCAGGTTTAATTAAACTATTATCATCGCAAAATAAATGTGTATACTGTGTAATCAAATCAGTAGCCTGTTTATGTTCAGAATTTATTAAGTAAGGTGAAATATTGATTGTGTTGCCTTCCATATCTACAATGGTTGGCTTACTTTCATGTGTATGTGTATTATTGTTTAAAATTGTGTTATTAAGATTTTCATAAACTTTTGTTTTTATAGACAAATTATTTTCATTAATGATTAAATTATTAATGTTAATAGTATTGTCAATATCATTAGCAATATTATTAAATTTTTTTTTGTTTATGTTTTTAAAAATAGATTCTTTTAAATTGCCTATAGATTCAAATTCTGTAAAATTTATTGTTTTTAAAGGAATATCTCTTGATGGTTTATTTGATTGTGTACCTGGAATCCAGTGTGTGTTTTTATCAACATTGTATAAGACTATAGGTGGGCGATTACCTAAACCATAAATGATTCCAGTTTTATCTGTATCATTAAAAATATATGTGTCATGATTGTAATGATTCGTAATAGCTGCTAATTCATCATCACTAAACCAATAATTAGGTAGATCAAATAATTCTAAAAGCTCTAATATTTCAAAAACAGAAGTTACTTTTTCATCTTTCCCATCATTAAGTGCGTTTATAATTGCAAAAAATCCGGAATTATTTTCACTATAAATGTTTCCTCCCTTTTCATAAGATTTAAAAACTTTTAAGTTATCATTATTCTGATTATTATTATTGACTTTGTCTGATATATTTTTATTGTAAAATTGTTTAATTGTGTTTATAACTGAATTGTGTTTTTCAGTTTTCCAATCATTAGTAATATATTTATTATTTTGATGGCATATTAACAATTATACTAGTGTTTATGAAAGTTGAAAAAATCATTTGTTTAATTATGGTCCATTCTTTTTTATCTAGGCCTGATGCTATTCTAGGCATTGCTATATATGTATCATGATGTTTTATCATTTCAATTTATAAGTTAATTAAAGCTTTTTCAATATTTATATATTCTGGCTTTTCAAAATAATAATTTCATTTTCTATAACATACATTGCTACACATTTTACTTTCGCTTGTAAAATCAACCCTTATGACTCCTATACCTAGAGTCAGTCACCCTAAATATGGCCCTGCCACATCTAAAATTAAAAACCAAGCACAGTGGGTTCACGGTACAATGATGACGTGACATAGTTGGATCAAGTATATTGATATATGACAGTAATTAAAATCACTATCATGAAAAACGCTTCGATGCAAATCTTTAGATAGTGTTTAATTTAAAAAAATTGGTGGATTATTCCATATGCTAAATGATCCCTATTTCTTTATTTATATCCTGATTAAGAGAAAGTATGTCGAATGAAAAAGGAATTATTAAAAAATATTATTTCTCATAAAAAAATTGTGTTGATCCATATACTTTTCAATAAGTTATAGCATTATAAAGTTTAAAATGTAAAATCTAAAAAATCTTCTATCTTATCACCCCCCTTATTTTAGTTTTATTACAAGTAGATTACATTAGCTTTAATTTAATATATATAGAAAAGTGTCAGACTTTCCGGAACACTTTCAAAATTTAAGTTGAAAAAGTCAATTTTTTGTGAAAAAGTTGTCATTTTGAATCCCCCCTGTATTAAGGGAAATAGTCCGATTTAAACAAAAAGTATGTAGAATGAAAGATCTATATAAATAGTACTTCTCATAAAAAAATTGTATTGATCCATACACTTTTTAATAAGTTATAGCATTATAAAGTTAAAAATGTAAAAAAAATCGAGAATTTTCACACAAAAATAGCATTTGGTAGCCATTTTCACCGTAAAAATAAAATAAAGTCAAAAAAAATTTTTTTTCACGATAAAGTATAGCACATTAGCTTTAATTTAAGATATGTATAAATGTGTCAGACCTTCCGGAACATTTTCAAAAGTTAGGTTGAAAAANCTAAAAAATCTTCTATCTTATCACCCCCCTTATTTTAGTTTTATTACAAGTAGATTACATTAGCTTTAATTTAATATATATAGAAAAGTGTCAGACTTTCCGGAACACTTTCAAAATTTAAGTTGAAAAAGTCAATTTTTTGTGAAAAAGTTGTCATTTTGAATCCCCCCTGTATTAAGGGAAATAGTCCGATTTAAACAAAAAGTATGTAGAATGAAAGATCTATATAAATAGTACTTCTCATAAAAAAATTGTATTGATCCATACACTTTTTAATAAGTTATAGCATTATAAAGTTAAAAATATAAAAAAGAATTTTTTTACAAAAATCGTATTTTTTTTATTAAGTTTAATGTCTGTTTTCACCATGAAGATAAAATAAAGTCCGAAATTTTTTTTTNAAAAATAGCATTTGCTAGCCATTTTCACCGTAAAAACAAAATAAAGTCAAAAAACATTTTTTTTCACGATAAAGTATAGCACATTAGCTTTAATTTAAGATATGTATAAATGTGTCAGACCTTCCGGAACATTTTCAAAAGTTAGGTTGAAAAAGTTAATTTTTTGTGAAAAAGTTGTCATTTTAAATCCCCATTTGTGGGAAGGTTAAGGGTTAAATTTATAAAAAAAATATACCAAATGATAGGTAAAGACATCAAGCATCTATAAAAAAAACTGAAGCGAGGTGTAATATATAGAAGTAATAAACACTTTTACGGTTTAATAACAACTATACTATATTACAACGAACTAACAAATAACAGCGAGAGACGAAGCGCATTTAAGTCAGAATGCGTAAGTGATTGACTGGAGCGACGATCTTGCCCTTAAATCCTAGTCAGAGGAATCTTCTAGAGGCGGTGGCGGCCGAACATTCTAGAACATTCGACCGCCACACCACCACCCTACTGAGTGGAGTTAGCTAGGGTCAAAAATGTCCGGAAATCTGACTCGGCAAACTGAGCGAGTTGTTCGTACTGGCTGTGTTGATTAATCGGTATTAGGCGGTTGTTTTTGTTTGGGCGTATTCGGGGCAGTTGCTGGTGGAGCATGTGCCTGGCTATCGGTTGTGCTTTCGTTCACCTTGAGGTAGGCAGGTTTTACTCTATCAATCGTCACCGTAACTGGTTGATTTCGAACTTTTATTGTGAACATTTTGTCATTTCGGGCAATTACTTCGTAGGGACCTTGATATGGTGGTTGAAGTGCTGCTCGGACACCTCCCTCCCTGAGAAATACGTGTGAACAATCCTTAAGGTCCGCAAAAACAAATGATCGTGGATTTGAGTGGCGAGATGCAGGTACTGGACGGATTTTATTCATAACACTGCGAAGACGATCTAGTAAGCTAGTAGGGTCGTTCGTACTGCTATTATCTTGATTGTCTGTGAAGAAATCACCAGGAAGATTAAGAGGCTCATCATAAACAAGATCCGCAGACGTGTCTTTTAAGTCTTCCTTTAACGCAGAACGTATTCCGAGAAGCACGATAGGCAGTGACTCAGTCCACGAGTCTTTTGCGTGGGCCATGATGGCTGCCTTTAGTTGTCGGTGCATTCGTTCGACGAATCCGTTTGCAGCAGGATGCCAACTGGTAGTGGGGCGAAGCATAAAACCAAAACGTTTTGCTAAAGTTTTTAAAGTAGCTGAAACAAACTGAGTACCACGGTCAGTCGTAACGTATTGAGGTACTCCGAAGCGTGAAATCCAGCAATTGAGGAAACCCTTAGTGACATCATCTGCTGTTATACGTTAGAGTGGATACACCTCCGGCCAACGGGTGAAACGGTCGATTACCGTCAGACAGTACCTAAAGGACTGTGATGGCGGCAATGGACCGATGATATCGACATGAACATGTTTGAATCGGCGTGAAGGTGTTTCAAAGTTTCCCAGTGGGGCTGAGACGTGTCGGCTTATTTTCGATCGCTGACAGTGGATGCAGGCACGTACCCAGGAACGGCAATCCTTTTTCATTGCTGGCCACACAAATCGTTCTGAAACTAAGTGAGCTGTTGCGCGTGCACCGGGGTGACTAAGGTTGTGTAACTGATCAAATGCGTGACGCCGGAATCGTTGTGGCAAAAATGGTCGTGGGCGTCCCGTTGACGTGTCGCAATAAATATAGGCTGAAGATCCTGGCACTAGTACCTTCTCCAAATGAAGAGATGAATTGTTGTCAGTAAAATGTTTGAGTTCATCATCCGTGTCTTGAGATGCAGCAAGAGCTCGGTAGTCCAGCGGGAGAGACACAACTTCAATGCATGACATTGTATCCGCGACGATATTTTCATCATCTTTAATGAGTTGAATGTCGGTGGTGAATTCGGATATGAATGTCAACTGGTTGAGTTGCGTAGGAGGTATCTTTTCTCTCCGTTGGGTGAAAGCATATACGAGTGGCTTATGATCGGTGAAAATGGTACATGGTTGTGCTTCGACAATGTGCCTGAAATACTTCACCGATTCATAGATGGCAAGCAACTCACGATAATACGCAGGCCACGCACTTTGTTTCACCGACATTTTCTTTGAAAAAAATGCTATGGGTTGCCAGATGTTATTGACTCGCTGCTGCAGACATGCGCCGATAGATTGGCTAGATGCGTCTGTGAATAGTCCAAGTCGTGCAGCTGGATGAGAATGTGCTAAAAGAGTAGCGGTCGCAAGAATTTCTTTGCATGTGGTGAACGCTTTTTCTAACTCGGGAGTCCATTCTATCGGTTAGGAACCTTTTTATCCAGAGGAAGCTCTGATTGTGCGGTTAAAATAGCTTGTGCATGTGATGGTAGACGGCGGAGCCAAAGTTGACGTAAAATATTGTCTTGTAATGTAGTAGTGCCGGCAAGGGAACGGAGATGTCGTAAGAACTGTGATGGCTTACGGTCACCTAGTTCTTCTTCATTGATGAGTTGCCGCACACGTTGTTCTTCTGAGATAGACAACCGTTCAACGAGTTTTGCGCGTAGATGTTTGTAGCGTTCAGTAGGCGGTGGGTTAGTAATAATATCCTCTACTTCGGCGGCGTAACGCGTATCAAGCTGAGCCACAACATAATTAAATTTTGTTTCCTCACTTGTTATTCCCGAGATTGCAAACTGCGAGTCAACCTGTGAGAACCATAAGCTCGGTCTTTCGGACCAGAAAGGTGGCAACTTGACGGCAACGCGATTCACTGAAGCTGTTGGATATTGCTGTGCCTGTAGTGCTGCAAGGCGAGCGTTTTCTTGGCGTAACTCCTCCAATTGATTGCGTAGTTCTTCGGCGTTCATACTTGTTATCGTCGAGGTCACCAATGTAGCGAGGTGTAATATATAGAAGTAATAAACACTTTTACGGTTTAATAATAACTATACTATATTACAACGAACTAACAAATAACAGCGAGAGACGAAGCGCGTTTAAGACAAAATGCGTAAGTGATTGACTGATCGATTGATTGACTGGAGCGACGATCTTGCCCTTAAATCCTAGTCAGAGGAATCTTCTAGAGGCGGCGGCGGAACGCTCTAGAACATTCGACCGCCACAAAACTATATTGATTTGTTCATTTTTGAAAAAAGTAATGGTAGTTTTAAGAAAGAAAAATTGAAAAAATTTCGAAAATTAGCGATTTTTAAGTTCGTAATTTTTTTGGAGGTTTCCACCATTGACTGGGAACGAATGAAACTTTTTCAATTTTTAAGGGTAATGTTTTCGACTAGAATCAATTTGTGATCATTTGACGTATCTTTGAAAGATATTCGTACGGTGAGAGCTAAGGAAAGTGGTAATAGACCTTCTCAGCTCGCATGGAAGCTAATAACTATTTTCAATTTAATTTTTTTTATACCTTCGACGTTGTCTGTGTAATAGCTATAACATTTTCTACAAAGTGGGCATTTATTTTCATCTCTAATTAGTAGTGTATCAGCACATTTTTTACATAAACAGTGATGACACTCATTCAATATAACAAGTACATCAGGTTTTTCGAAACAAATTGGACATTCTTCAGCTCCAACTAAAAATGTTTATATTTAATAAATGTTTTAATATTGTTTAGAATAAATATATTTTTTGATTACGAATTATCATATATCAGTATTTACATAATAAAATATGAATGGCAATATTATTTTTAAAAACCATATTTCTTATTACAATTGGAAATAAAATATTTTTCAATCTTACAATTATAATGTTACCATTAATGTTTTTTATAAGTGACTAAAGACTAAATGTCAATATAACATACCTGGACTTACAAATGTTATATAATGTATTAAATCATTATTAAAAGATTCTTCATAACGAAAAAGTTTTTTAATGTCATCATATGTTTTTATGCTCTGGTTTTATAATACATAAAACAATTTAATATATTAGTAATAATTGTATTTTAAATGATATATTTTAACATACTGAACAAATGTTTTTTTGTAGTGATGTACAAAATATTGTATCTCCACATATTACGTTAGACAATACTTTGTATAGATCTTGATATCTGTACTTTTGATAATAAGCTAACACAAATGGCGTATCTGTTATAAACCTATATCCCAAACTTTCACATTTGTTTTTTCTCCTCTCTTCATCAACTGGATTGAATTAAAATTTTTAATTTAATTTGACTCCATAATAGTACATTTCTGTNTAAATTTTTAATTTAATTTGACTCCATAATAGTACATTTCTGTTTTATTATTCATCTTAACACTTGTCAAATATTCTATTTTCTGCAAATAATAAAAAATTCTTAACATAATTATCGAGATGAAGATCAAAGAATTATATATACTCAGTACATTTACGTCATATCACATAGGGTTTGAACTCTTTCTTGTAAGACATTAACGTTAACGCTAGAAACAAGTTGATACACTTGGATTTTAAAATATTGAAAAAATACAAAGCCCGATGATACTCATGCGTGTTAGTTAACGTTAGTTGATTTATTTTGTTCTAAGTCAGGCTATGTGAATGTAAAGAGTTAAGATGAGTGAGCTGTACGAATGAATGTAAAATGAATTTTCAAAACATATAACTTATAAATATGTTATATATGAATCATAAAATTTTATACATTCCAATATGGATAGGGTAACTCCTAATACTAATGCCACAATGGCACTGATATAAACAAATAATAAATTATAAATAGATTGATAAAGGATTGACACAAATAATATATATTTAATTTGATGTCTAATAGATATTGAATTATAGACAACTGAATAATGAGTGGTGAATGTATTATTACAATAAATCTTAAAATAAAGATGAACAAGAATTATTCTTATCAGCTAATTGTAACGACTGATGATATTGCTGAATATTAAATGGATCAAGTGAAATCAAATGCAATTAACTGATCAACGTGTTCTATAACTGGTGAATGATACTGTGATTTATATTAGTAAATAAAAAGTCCCAAAGGCAATTTACTGAGAGCGCAATAGAGTGCGACAATCGCAAAGATGATATTTTACTTTTTATAAAAAACTATATTCTTGCAAGTTCTATAGATGTTATAACTAAAACACGCTATGATGGTGGCAAAAATGCAGACATAGACAGAAGATCGACAACAACTCAGTTTAGCACAACGATTGCTTAAATAATCACAACTCAAATTCTTGACAGCACATTCGATCTATGTGTATCCAACACCAAAATTGTTATATTTTATATAACTGATATTTTATATCACTATTATACTTGAAATTACCTTATTGTAACTATGTTTATTTTTTTATTAAGGAGCCTCACGTAAGCCTCTTGGGGCTATCCTCTAAGGTAGGCCATTGATTCCAGTAGTACTACACGTCTACGCCGGGCACAATAAGTGTTTTGCAGGAAAAATACTACATCAGAATCAGTGTGACAAAAATATATTAAAAATTTAATTATTAAAATCAGGAAAATTCAAAAAGAGAATATAGTAAAATGTATTGAGTATAAGGCTGACGTTCGTTAATGAGGTACATATTGAGGATTCACCTCGGACGTATTCAGAAATTATTTTAGTAGGGTATTTAATTTATTTTACTTTGTTAAACATGTTATAAATTTTTTTTTTTGTTAAAAATCAAATTTATGACCAGAAAAAAGTACATTAGATCCTTATCCCTTAGAAGTTGCCTATAAATATGTTGGTAGTGCTGGTTAAAGGCGCACCCAGAGAAAAACCTCGATCTATATAATAAATTCATTGTTCAATTTGATAAATATATCATTTCTATTGAACCTATGATATATTTATCAATATGATAATTTTTTTTATTATCTTGAACAATAATTATTCATAAGAATAGTTATTTTGTTCGTATTAATAAAACATTATCATAAACCCTTGATAAAATTTCT